ATGTTATAAACGATGTAAATATGTTCATTCAGGGCCCCATGGAAGACCACTACTTGTTGGTGAATGGGCTACCCTGTCAAAATATTAGAAATAAATAAAATAAATAAATAAAAGTTTATACAAGTTAGTAATGGAATTCATGGAAAAGGGCAAAACTGTGTTTCCCTCTAGTAATCCAACCTGTAAAGTAATCAAGAAAAATGTATTCTATGGAAAGCTGTTCCCTTATGATTGTAATGATTGACGGTAATATAAGGACTCATCCTAATAAACATATGTATCACGATTTCAGCTCAACCATAAAAATGTGTGTTCTACAATTTTGTTGGTCCGTTTTGATTTATTATCTTCAAAAAGAGAGTTTGTTTTCTGTGGTGTGACATAACTGATAATGAAAAACAAGGTAATGGATCTCAGAGAAAATCTGATTTAAATTCAAATGCATTAATTTGTAATTATGAATAAAAGTGGAATTTAATTAAAATACTTCTTAGGTAAATGTTTGTAATAAAGTTATGTTAAAAACTGATTCTGTCTATATATAAATATATAATATATCTGTATTGTAACCAAATCTTGAGGTTCGTCGAGTGGTTTAAGGCGCTTGACTGGAGATTCGAAGGTCGGGGGTTCGAATCCCGACACGGCACTAATTGGCAAGATATTTACCTGCACTTGCTACTCTCGATCCACCCAGGTGATAAATGGGTACCCGGTAGGATGCGAAAGCTCATACGGTTGGACGAGCAAGTGTGCGCTTGTAAAATGGCGATTAGCTGGAATGTTCCCCAAGGAGTGGAAAATGTGCATATACTGTGTGCGGGTATTAAAGCCTGGGTCCGAAGACCGGGGTAATAATATATCTGTAAACCGCGTAGGCACATCGTTGGATCGATGTATTGAGCGCTATTTACAGATAGATAACAACGTAATTTCTTGACTATACATGAACTAAAGGTGAATGATAATGTCATATTGAAATTGATGTAAGAACCATCCAAATGATAATAAAACTATTTAAAGGGATAGTTGAGTTTTGTTGCAGAGCTCGAGGGCACTAAACAATATATTTCATTTCGTGAGATAATAAAAAACTAAGCGACAAATTTGAAATAACATACACATTAAATGACAAAATCATCTTTGGCTGCTGAAATATCCATAAATATATAACGATTTCTAATATTTGTGGTGCCCCAAAAATATTCGTCATTTTGATCAGCCGCTGAAAAAACGAGATAGTAAAGCGCCAAATACGTTAAATGCCAGCCATTGCTAATGTTGGCTTTTAGTTGGCTTGTTCGTGTTTGTTATAATATCCCGTGTATTATTAATTGATTAACGGTCCGACCATATTCTTTTTTGTGGAGCTGAATTGGTATGATCGTATTCAGGCGCGGATCCAGGATTTCATAGGGGGGGGGGGGGGAATTTGAAATCAATTTGAAATTTAGTGTGCTGACAATTTCGCTCAGTGGGGGGGGGGGGTATATACAGTGTGAGTCACAAAAAAAGTTTACACCTAGAAAATTGCTAATTATTTTAAAAATCATCTATGAACAGTAAATGATCATACATCTTTTGAAAGAGTGTTTTATCCCAAATCATTTGGTGTCATTTTTTGTGGTATGTTTTAATGCTTGGATGAACGTGAGGCATTGTTTTCGAGAGTGCAAAAAACGATTTGCGCCAAAGTTCCTTCTGTAATGTTTGAATAAAACAATTGGGATTTGGGTATTAATTCGGTCTTTGCAGATCCAAATAACATCCCTAACAAAATTAATCATGCCACACATATCAATAATCGAATATCAAACATCAACGAACGCGTGTGTGAGCGTGTGTGAGTGTTTGTGTGTGACTTTGCTTCTGCAAAAAGCATATGAAATGCAGTTCATTTGAGTACATTGAATTCATTCTCCTATACCGGTAATCCCAACATAACACATACTGTAGGCATCACTTTGGCGCAAGTCGATTTTTGCACCCTCGCAAACAATGATTCATGAACACATACCACACAAAAATGATACCAAATTATTTGGGATAAAACACTCTTTCATAAGATGTATAATAAGTTATTGTTTAAAGATGGGTTTTAAAATAATTAGCAATATTCTAGGTGTAACATTTTTTTTTGACTCAACGGTAGTCAGCGCTATTTTTTTGTTTTGTTTGGCCCTCGAAAATTTGAAAAATCGCATTCCCCCCCCCCCCTTGAGTGCCAGGGGGGGGGGGGGGATCTAAAAAAAAAAAGGTAAAATTACCGTACTTTTACACGTTTTTTCCCAGGGGGGGGGGGGGGCGGGCCCCCGGGCCACCTGGATCCGCCACTGATCGTATTGGCTGAGTTTCAAACATTTGGGGGTCTAAAATTACCTACATAGTAATTTTAGGTCCTCAAAGAGCACTAGAAATGTCATAAATAAGAATAAGAGCAATAACCATGCACTTGGAAGGCATTTGCGGTCTGAAACAAGAATTATTATAGCTATCCCTTTAATTTTTCAGAATATTTGAGACGCTAAAAGCATCACCACACATAAATGCGCGATAGGAATATATACAACCATTATATACATGCCATCAATCCATAGGGGGAGGCTTTAACCCTACATTCATCTCTATTTGGAGGAAGCTTCTACATAAAAAAAAACATGCAAAATGTATTCCTACAGTAATTTTAATTTGAGAGATTCCTACTTTTGTTTTGGTTGATTAAAGTTTGAAGGTTTTTAAAAATCTTTCAACTCATTCTTTGTGTCCAAGAGATATTCCTGTTATGTTAAAGTGAAAGGAGACCTAGGATATTATTTGCATACGATCACATGGATACATTATTTGTAGATCTTGCAAGTTGAATTGAAGAAATAGAGAAAAAAATAAGCAAGCTAAACTGAGTTTCAATGAAAAAATCAGACACAAAAAAAATATAAAAACTAAATTAGCTAGGCACAACACTGCTTTTCGCAATGTGGTAAAGTATAGGTAAACTGCCCTTTAATCGATTGATCTTTAAACCAACAGTGCAAAGAGACTCACTACCTTTATGAACAGTATGAACAAAAATTTTGATCTGGGACTGAGAGAAAGTTATATCCCATTCCTAAGTCCGGCCCATTTGCAAGTTGAATTGAAGAAAAAGAGAAAAATTAAACAAGCTTAACGGTGAGTTTCAATGAAAACATCAGACAAAACTAAGAAAGCTAGAGAATTTGCAAATAAATTTCACCTAATGTTATGAACCGTTGATACATGCTTTATATCAAGTTGATGATGTTATCCCCTCTCTAGTCCACATATATCTTGTTTATGATATATTCGTCCTTGTTTTCACGAAGTGACGGTAGTGAGGAAAATCGTAACGCAAAGTGAATGCAATTTTTTTTCACTACCGTCACTTCGTGAAAACAGCGACGCGTATATATATATATATATGGTTATATATATATTACTCGCCTTTATAAATGGTTTCCTTTCTATGGCACTAATTACAGTAATCGTGATTTTGCGCATATTCCATGAGGATTCAAGCCATATTTTACATTCCCAGAGCAGTATCAACAAAATTTGTACACCGCGGATACAGATGTATGAGGGGAGAGAGAGAGAGAGAGAGAGAGAGAGAGAGAGAAAGAGAGAGAGAAGGGGCGGCGGGGGGATGCAACTAATCGTTTTGTTCCAAGACCAACTAGATGCACCAAATTCACCAAGAACTGTCGAACCACATGGTTGTGTAATGCAGCTCTCTCTCTCTTTCTCTCTCTCCCTCACTATCCTCTCCCTTCTTCATCTTCTTCTTCTTCTTCTTCTTCCAGTATAGTACAGTCCGCCGTTGGCGTATTATCGTACCTTGTGTTTGTCAAGTGCCGAGTGTACAGTGCAAGTAAAAAGGTTCTACAAGAATTCTATGTGCAGCTAAAAAACAGTCTGAAGCTCAACGGAGCTTGATGTGTTGCACCTTCTGCTTGAAAAGTTCCAAAGAGGTGCAATCGACGACAGCAGATGGTAAGGAGTTCCACAGTCGGATATTATCTGGGTAGAATGTGGTTTGGAATAGCAGAGTTCGGGCGAAGGGGACATGGAATTTCTGTGGATTTCCACGGGTGCTGGGACCAACAACGGGTATGAAGTAGGTGACTGGAAGATCAATGTTATCTCACAATCTACAGTGATAAAGTATTTGCATGTCAGAATTTAGTATCTATCAATGTTGAAGAATAACAAAAAGACAATTCCAAACAGAATATTATGACGAAATACTGCTTTTATTTATGACCCATAATTTACACGTAGTAAGATAAACAAAAATAAATAAATTGAAAACATGTATGGTACAGGGCACAGAAAATCTTTATGTCCAAAAGCTCATACGTATTCACTTTCGATCCTTCATCTAATTCAGCTGGTATTGTCTTAGACTTCTTCTTAACGTTGTTGCTGTTCCATCTTCCCTCTCGTCCTCACATTGTATTTCTTACCCCCCCCCCCCCCGCCCATCGTATCTACTTGAATAAGATTAACCAAAAATGCCCAAATTATAGGGTTTAGCTTGCTTTCGATCACCAGCACATATTTTATCATTGTCATGCTGCCTTCTATATAATTTTGTTTAATATTTGCTTCGGTTTTTCCTATTCTACAAACTTAATTGATGGCAATATTTATCTTAAGATCGGCTCTCTTAGCCTTCTTTTAAATCTTTTCTTGCTTTACTCGTGTTGTTAAAAATATTCTTATAAGCTGGTGAAAAAAGGCGGTGGCTTTAGGGTCAACTTTATTATGACGACTGTTTGGTTTATTGACTACTTATAAACTTATTCATTCACGATTGCTAGTATAGAATAAAAATAAATAACTAAATTACCTAGGCACAACACTGCTTTTCGCAATGTTGGTAAAGTATACGTAAAATGTCATTTTATCAATTTATCTTTAAATTAACTTTATGTCAGCTTGAACAATACGAACAAAAGTTTTGATCTGGGAATAAGAAAAAGTTATATCGCATTTTGTCCCGCAGAGGCGGTTGATGGTGGTAGCGGGAGGGTGGTGGTCGATGGTGGTAGCGGGAGGGTGGTGGTCGACGGTGGTAGCGGGAGGGTGGTGGTCGATGGTGGTAGCGGGAGGGTGGTGGTCGATGGTGGTAGCGGGAGGGTGGTGGTCGATGGTGGTAGCGGGAGAGTGGTGGTCGATGGTGGTAGCGGGAGGGTGGTGGTCGATGGTGGTAGCGGGAGGGTGGTGGTCGATGGTGGTAGCGGGAGGGTGGTGGTCGATGGTGGTAGCGGGAGGGTGGTGGTCGATGGTGGTAGCGGGAGGGTGGTGGTCGATGGTGGTAGCGGGAGGGTGGTGGTCGATGGTGGTAGCGGGAGGGTGGTGGTCGATGGTGGTAGCGGGAGGGTGGTGGTCGATGGTGGTAGCGGGAGGGTGGTGGTCGATGGTGGTAGCGAGAGGGTGGTGGTCGATGGTGGTAGCGGGAGGGTGGTGGTCGATGGTGGTAGCGGGAGGGTAGTGGTCGATGGTGGTAGCGGGAGGGTGGTGGTCGATGGTGCTGGCGGGAGGGTGGTGGTCGATGGTTCTGGCGGGAGGGTGGTGGTCGATGGTTCTGGCGAGAGGGTGGTGGTCGATGGTTCTGGCGAGAGGGTGGTGGTCGATGGTTCTGGCGAGAGGGTGGTGGTCGATGGTTCTGGCGAGAGGGTGGTGGTCGATGGTTCTGGCGAGAGGGTGGTGGTCGATGGTTCTGGCGAAAGGGTGGTGGTCGATGGTTCTGGCGAGAGGGTGGTGGTCGATGGTTCTGGCGAGAGGGTGGTGGTCGATGGTGTTGGCGGGAGGGTAGTAGTAGGAGCAGTGGAGGTAGTCATGTCACAGAATCGAAGCTTGATCGCTTTCAGTAGAGCTGCAAAATAAAACAACACGTTGATTGTGTTACAGGATTAAGATTTTGCGATATATAGGATATTGCATTAATATATCTTCGTATTAAAAACAATATTCAGACCTATTTTACATTTAGAGGGTATCAATAGTTATGTTTTTCTCATTTAATAGTGTATACTCATTAATGCCGATGACAGGAAGTCTGATTTTGAATATTGACTTTCCATGTAGGTGTATTTAAAGGGAACTTCATCGTACTGTACGATAACTTGATTTTGAGAAGGAGAAAAGAAATATGACAGAAATGATAGGAAAATTGGTAATTATTAGATATGTGTGTAATTCGTGTACGAAAACAATTAAGACCTCGTTATCATGTGAGGCGGCAAAACTATGTAAGGCATTCTCATGCGATGTAATAAGCGGCATATTTCTTTATTTTATAACACAGAGTTCAGTCAATATAGTCCAGGCATTTCGTAAACAAATGGGGTTAATCTATCAACTGTTTTATACACGGAAATATGTCCTCTTTAATATATCAAAACTCTTAAAGTCACACTGCCATACTTGTAGCTACTTGCTCCCTCTATATAGAAAACTTCCCCAATCGGTGCCTGTTGGTCCCCCATGATTCTCTTTTTCTTATGTTAAATGAGAGCTGAGTTAATGAGATAGCCACCTATCACAGTGACCTCGATGGCTCGCTGTGTGGTCTAATCCCTTCTTGCCCAGTAGTGGTGACGGTCTTTAAGGAATCCTGGTGGGGGAAAGTGCCATGGCGGCCATTTTATCAAAATGGCCGCCATAAATCTGATATTTCCCTATATCTCTGCTTCCAAATAACATAGAGCTTTGATTTTCAGTGCTAAACATACACTTTCAGGGACAAGGAATCAAATTGAAAAAAATCAAGAAGCAAAACCATGCCAAAAAGGTGAACGGCAGCCATTCTTTTCAAAATAGCCTCCATAAAACAGTTATTTCCCTATATATCCGCGTCTAAATAACATAGATATTTGATTATAAGTGTTAAACATACTTTTTCAGGGGCAAGGAATCAAATGAAACACATTTTGGTATGTTAAACCTGGCAACAGAAAAAAACCCGAAATGGCAGACTTTTTCCAAAATGGCCGCCATAAAATAAATATTTTCTTGTATCTTCGCTTCTAAATAACACAGAGATTTGATTTTAAAGGTATTAAAGTTTTAAGTAAATTTTGAAAATTTGCTGGATAGTGATTCTTTACAATGTTAATATATTTGGATGCCCCTGTAGATGTATTATAAACACTAGAAAATTTAGTCCCTAAAACACTTCTGCTTTCTAGAAAAAATAAATATACAAATTTACCTGCGCTCCCGGTAAATTTTGATAAATTTCAAATAGCGTCTACGGCCATCCAATGGTAGCTGCGACCATGAAAATCTCAGAATATGCAGTTGTGATATATAATTTTCCAAACGGTAATAGCCTATCGGTCGATTTTAGTCAGGAAACATTGTTTTATAGCTAAATTAATATATTGACCTTGAGAGGGAGCTATACAACATAAAGAGTTTATTGTTTACAATATCATTACTTTAGACTCGATTTCAACCGCGAGAACGATCACTGAATATTGTAAAATCGCATATGCTTCAATATGAAAATCACTAGACAAATTTGCAACTTACTCATGAGTCCGTAAAGTCATGTCCTCACTATTTTCTTTATATTGATGATATGATATTCCTATTTTCTCCTTAAGAATCTTATTTATTCACACCAGCATCCAAGTTAGATTGATAGTAATATGTTTTTGTGTGGATGCACTAATATGGAGAAATTTGTTTCCAGTTAAATCATGAAAAATGTGAATTTTGATAAACTATTTATACAAAAATCAATAATTATGAATATAGAATATTCAGAAAATAGTATACATTCTTCAAAGTTCATAAAAGATTTTCTGAAATGTCATGCACGCAATATGATACAAATCAAATAACCTGGGTAAAAGCATGGGGAAATCAAGTTTTAGGGAATAGAAAGGGAAATTAATGGGATTAAACTATGTAAAGCAATTGATAAATAGTGAGGACATGACATCACAAACTGATAACCATCTTGGCAATTTGTGTTGTGATTCTCATTGTTTCATAGTTTTACATACTTGTTCAAAAATTCATAACTTTCTTATTAGTTATCTGATTTTGCTCAAACCTTTGTTGATTGGTAGTCTGATATTTCTGCTTTTATTGAAAGTAAGTTATTTTTCGAGTGGACTTGTCTTTTATGGACATTTGCATAATTTACATAAACATGACAAATGTAACTTTTTCTCTTTATTTAGTAACAAAATTGTGGTCATGATGTAACTGATTAATAAAATAATAATGATTGATGACGTCATCACCAAAGGTCTCTCGTTACCTACATATGTAGGTAATATTGCTGTAGTTAGTTCAAACACGTTTTGAAAAAGATCCATGCAGCCAATGAACTTACTGTAATTTTGAAACGATTTAAAAACAATGTGGCCCAAAATATGTATGTACATAATTACAATGCCATTGATTCCATCAATTTGCTTTCTCTTCTTCTTCTTCTTCTGCTTCTTCTTCTTCCACTTCTTTTTCGTCTTCCTCTTTTTCTTCTTTCCTCCCTTCTTCACCTTCTCATACTTATCATTAAATATTTTCTTTACTCTTTATTCTATTTTTCTTTTCTTCTCAAATTTACTCTCCTTGTGCGTCTTTAGAATCGCATACTATACTACTCCGCTTTCGCCTCCTATAATACCTTTTAAATTCAGACCTGCTATATTGTGTTACTCACTTCGGGAGCCTATTTACATACAAGCTATGCTTTTTATTTAGGCTCTCCACATTTTGCATTGTTTTTTTTACCTTGCCTTTCTTATCTATATATTTCGAAATTTCGTACTTATTATACTTGATTTGAAATCTTTTTATTTTTGATATTTTTTTTCTTGTGTGAAATCTAGTCTTATACGCCTGCATGAAAAAATAAAATAATAAAACTGTGTTTATGTAAAATATGGAATAAATAAACTTCAATTAACCAACCAACATCGGGTCATTGACTGTCCTCGGCATACTGACATTCACAACAGACGACCTCCATCTTGGACCTGGTGTCCCCCATTGCCCACACACATTTCTGATCAGACACCATTCATAATGTGCATTGCAACCCCCTTTCACAACACACAATTTGCAATAAGTTTTCTATGATGGTTGGCACATTTCATAAACTTCCTATTAAAACTACTTTTTAAGAGCCACCCCTAAATATCTTCATGCACCACAGCATTCAGTGAAAATTATGTTTTTATATCAGAGCAAAATTTTACCATCGAAATTGCTTATCTTGGTCAATTCTGCCAATTTTCTCGGAGAAAGAACGCATTGTAGTCTTCGAAATTAATTGGATATATGCAGTAGTGTTGTTAAAGGTCACAAATGGCGCTATAGCAATATTGGAGCCAATACGGACAGACAGTGATGGGGTCAAGATTGGTGGTCTCCAATTCCCTACATCAACCCTGCATTTTCTGGGGCCAGGAACTAGGGGTGATAGTAAGCACTAACAAAAACAAAAAAAATAATAATACTCTTAGTAAAAAAGAAAAAAGGATTCGGGGGGGGGGGGTGGCATCTAACAAATGTTCCCCCCTTTTTAGTAAGAAAATTGGGAAATATAGGGACAATATGGGAAATCAGGGGTAAAATTGGGAAGAAGAAGAAGAAAAAAATCGAGGAAAAAAATCAGGGAAAAAAACAATAATCGGGAAACCGATTTAAATCGGGTAATTATCAGGCCTGGAATACAATGAAATTTATTTCAATAAGCTTGACTGGACTAAAAGGTCAAAATAGCAGCTAAATCTAGGTATCAGGGTGCCTGTGACATAACTGAGATTTGCTGCCAGAGTGCTATTGAAGTACTGTATATTGTTGGTAAGTATAGTAGTGGCATGATGCGGTAGTGGTAGTAGAAGACCAGCATAAAGCTGACTGTGTACAAATAGTCCTGTTACAGGTAACAGGCATGCAAACATTCAAAGGTTTTTCAATCTATAATTACATTAAATAATGTAGTATTATTAGGGTCTGCAAACCAGACTAGTCATGCATTCTAGAAGATTCTAGATCCCGTTCTAGGTTTGCCTAATGGTCAAGTTCACGGTTAGCACATGGCTGCAATGACCCCGAATATCCATAAATCTTCAAAACATGAAGAGGTCCCACTTTTTACATTTTGAAATAATCACTCCTACAGCGATGGAGATGCTACATACTTAGCCTTTGTTTCCCCTTTTCAAAGAATATTTCCACCTATGTATCATGGAGTGCTCTGCTTGTGCATAAATGAATAATGATTACACAACGTTCATGAGCACGTATCCAGTATTCCATCTCCGTGTATTTCACAATTTGTTCTGCAATGACCTTTATCTGCTCGTGCTCAGACTGCCTCCGTGAACTGGCTTATCGTATGTGGGTCAGACAGTGAACTGTTATTTTTTATTCAATTAATGGTAAACAACATACATGTATGAATGTACATGTAACATGTCACAGTCTAGAAGATCCTAGGTTTGCCTAATTGTATGTTAGTCAGACAGTGACATGTGTTGTACTTTGAATTGATGGTAACAATACATTCCATGGCATGGGGATGATTGCTGCCATAACCCCAGCCACCAAGACCAGCAGACCTTTCCTCAGGGCGTAGGTCACCTCCAATGACATCTCAACAATGAGACGAATTCCTATTCATTACCACAAAGAACAGAGCCACGGTTTGACAACACTGGCATACCAGAAGGTGGACAACAGGAAGGCAATTAAGGACCCAACAGCAGACCTTCATCTGCTCTGGAAGACATTCGTCATGTTAACCTCACCGAGACCGGTATGGTCTGGACTGATGTAGCTAGTGAATCATGGTGATTGCCCCGGGAAATCATCGGTGATGTTACTCCCAATGATCTACACGAATCCCAGCGATGTCACTTGCATCTTTTCCGCACTGAAGTTCGTATGTGAGCATGCTCGTCGCCATGGTGTTACGCGCATCATCACCTTTGACCAACCACTATAATGTTGGAAAGCCCTCGTGATCATAAAGACTGAGCCCACAGGAAGTGCTTTGAATGACATAGTCTTGCCCCTTTGGGGCTTTCACACAGAAATGAGTTTCTTGGGAAACATCGGGCACCTCATGGCTGGATCAGGTCTGCAGGAAGTCTTGGAGTTAATCTATGCAGACAAAGCGGTGGTACACACTGTGACAGGCAAGGCTACTGCACGAGCAGTACGGGGACATCTCCGTGTTGATGCAGCTCTGAACGCCTTGATTTTGTCAGACGTACATGTACTTGGTGTGCCATTTCCTCAACTATCTGTACAGCCACATGAAGTGGAGGAGACCAATGAGGCAACAGTGTCACCAGATGATGAGACTACAACACACGGAACTGGAAACACTGATCTTGATGAACTTCATGCCCTCTACAAGAACCTGATGGGAGGTTCTGTGTCTGCAGAGGAGTTCTGCCAAGTTGATGTGCTAACCATGATCAAGGAGCTTCTCCGGGCCAAAACCAAATCCTTGAAGTCCTCTAGGACTGCCACACTTTGCTACATAACATGGAGATGGTTGGTATACTACGGAAGTTTGTCAAAGCAGAGCGCATTGGCAACTGGGCATTGCACCTTGAAGCTGTGTCATAAATGCTGCCCTAACTTGGCAGCCTCTGGGCACACACTCTACATTAAATCAATCCGCCTCTATGTGCAGCGAATGAGCAAGCTCAAGGATAAACATCCAGATGTGTACCAACGATTCGAAGAAGGGTTCCATGTTGTCAGAATAAGTGATGACCTATCGGCTGGTCTGAGAAGTATGAAGAACAGCGGTGACCTGACAAGAGGGCGGGGCATGACAGAGCAACCGCGTCTCTAATGATTCAAGCTTACGCAGCATCTCGACAGGGGTGCATGCAACCAGCAAAGTCAATGTGGACTCCGCGAAAACTGTTGGAACAGCAATCCTGACCAACATGAATGGACAAATTGCTGCTGACTAAACAATCAAGAGGAAGGATCAGACCATCAAGTACAGTCGTGTTTTATGGCTATGATGGTTCATCAACAAATGTCACAACACACTAAAGACGTACGATAGGGAATGCAGTGACGTTTGATAGAGACAGGTTACAATGAAGAAAGAACAATTCCTGGCAAACAAGACAAACAAGCAGCACTTCATTAACATGTTCAGCACCAAACTACGTACACATTACTGCCAGACACATCATATGCTGCAGGTGACGCTGATCTTCTCATAGTGTAGGAGGCAGTGGAGTATGCAGCCACAACTGATACTGTGCTGATCGGAGATGACACAGATCTGCTCATCCTGCTCATCTACCACACCAACCTCAAGTCATGTGACCTGTTCTTCCAACCCGAGCCAAAGAAGATTGTGAAGAAACCGCATGTCTTGAACATGAAGTCTGTCAATCAGTAGTTAGGCCCAGATGTATCACAGCACATTTTCTTCATGCTTGTTCTCCGATACTACTTCCCGCGTGTATGGCATCGCAAAGGAGCTTCCCTCAACAAGCCAAGGTGTGTGACAGACCGGCAGCGTCCACCGATAATGTTGTAGAAGCAGGAGAGAAAGCCCTGGCATGCATGTACAATGGGAAGCCCGCAGAGTCACTCAACGTGGTGCAACATATAAGCGGTTCTGCCAGAAGGTTGCCTTCAGCACTCATTTGCAACCCCAAAGTCTACCGCCCACATCAGCAGCAGCAGAGCACCGCAGTCTTCGTGTCTACTACCAGGTCTAGCAGTGGAAGGGCATCGCAGCTGATTAGCTACGACCAGACGACTGGGGTTGGCAGGAAAGCATGGGAGGACTCGAGCCCGTGCAAACGGACTTGCCACAAGCTCCGAAAGAGCTTCTCAAGACGATCCTCTTCAACTGCCAGACAGACTGCAGCAGTATGATATGATGTGCACATGCAAGAAGCACGACATTAGACTGTTCAGCTGCATGTGGCAACTGTAGAAGGTCGGCATTTACGTCGTTTATCAGGCATCCGGTATGCGATAGTATTTTTGACTGAAAAAATGTATGTTTAGTGCTAAAATCTCCGCCCTTAGTCATCAAAAAGGAAATATTGGGAATTATTAACCGTATCAGACGTCTGAGCAGGGCAATTTTTTTTAATGTTATTGCCCTCAAGGTTTGATGGATAAGCCAACAAAATTAGAATATTTTAGCCCGCTCAGAAAAGTCAATGGGATTTTGTGTGTAATTTGCCGGTCAATATGGTTATACAGTAAACCAATGAACAAATATTTTAGCCCGCTCAGAAAAGTCAAAGGGATTTGTGTGTAATTTGCCGGTCAATATGGTTATACAGTAAACCAATGAACAAATATTTTAGCCCGCTCTGAAAAGTCAATGGCAAAAGGCTTGTTAAACTAGTGAGCAATAATATAGAGCCAGTTCTAATTTACATCGCGCATCAGCAACTGTAATTTACATCGCGCATCGTGTATAAAAAAATGCGCACTTTGCGCGAACTCTATTGTGACGTAACAATCACACCCTAGGCAAACTGTTTGCAGTGTATCGAAAATCTGTCAAACACTGGATGAACAGTGCTGGTTTGACAATGTTTTTGCAACTTCTAATGCTAGGAAACCCTGTGTAGCCTACATAATTTAAGAGTATAAGAGAGTAAGGGTTTCTTGTTTGCTCTAGATGTCTTATGTGGTTAATAATAGTAATATTTACTGCCTAATTCAGGGCAATACGACTTGTCATAATCACCCTCACCTTCGGTTCGGGCGATTATGTCGTATCGCCCAGAAGGCAGTCAATATTACTTAAATATCAGGTTTATGGCGGCCATTTTGGAAAATGGCTGCCATTTAGGCTTTTTGGTCAGGTCTTGCTCATTGAAATGTGTTTCATTTGATTACTATCTCCATAAAATGTATATTTAGCAGTGAAAATAAAACCCCTAAGTCATTTAGCAGCATAGGTATTGGGAAATATCAGGTTTTTAGAGGCCATTTTGGAAAATGGCTGCCGATTCGGCTTTTTGGCTTTTTGGCTTTTTGGCTTTTTGGCTTTTCGGCTTTTCGGCTTTTTGGCCAGGTTTTATTTCTTGAATTGTTTTCTATTTAGTCGGCCCTCCTTCCCTTTCCCTTTCAAGTTTATTTTTGTAATGTATTGTATAGTGCAAATTGATCCTGAAGTGGTCGGAGTGGCAATGCCTAAATCGAATGCGGACGAGAATGGGGCGGTGTAAGGTCAATATGGCAAGATGGGGCTATGGACATGAAGGAGATACTCTCTGCGACTGCGGAGAGACTCAGACGATGGACCACATCTTGCAGTGCGGCGGAACGGGTTGCACAGATGAAGACCTGGCCCTTGTTAATGGAACGGCAATTCCAGCAGTCGGGCGATGAAAGAACTTAATCTAATTTAATTTAATTTAATTTTAATTAAGGAACTTTACATAACTATCTTGATCGAAGGAGACACGAACGAACGATCTATATGTATATAAATATGTGAAAATGTTAAAATGTACCATCATTGTAAATATGAACGATTGAATTCATTGTCCCTGAAAATGTATGTTAAGCACCTAAATCAAGGCTCTATTTTATTTAAAAGCAGGTATATAGGGAAATATCAGATTTATGGCGGCAATAATGGCCGCAATGTCACTTTCCCCCACCAGGATTCGTAAGAAATCGAATATGTTATAGATGACATATTTCTGGGTATAATACAATTGACAGACTTTCTGTTGGAATTAGTGGGAAGTCATATCAAATAATGCCTGGACTAATACGCGCATGACCATTGTTGCGCGGAGTTGCCATTAATTCTCACCTTAAAAAAAAAAAGCTGCGGGGGAATTTTATATTATTTTCTTCTAGCGGTTTACCGTGTCATATCTGAACGTGCCTTTATAATTGGTTTGGAACAGCTCTGCCCTTGTTTAATTTTTGTTTTAATGTGTACGTGTGTGTTAGTGTGTGTGTGGGGGGGGGGGGGTGGCTACGGTGAGTTTGTGTTTGCGTGCCCCGGGTGCGTACGCGTATTTTCTAAAAACTTGAGCATGATAATTTGTATTTAAGCCACATAAATGAAAAACTTAAAACTTTTTTAATGTAAAAATCAGAAGAAAGAAATAACAAAAATGTACTTCCCGTATAAAGTAGGACATTACCAATGGTGTACATAATGATTACTATCCAAACCCACAGGTCATGTTTTCGTTATTTTCAATTATCGTTTGTACTTACCTATGATCTTTCTGATTCCTGCCGCATAGGAGAAAGGATAAGTAATATAAAACGGGTGAGTATGAACTCTAATTGAATAATAATACAAATACAAATCGATGTATCATAATATTTGTTGACAATTAGAAATTCAATTAGTCATATTAATGAGATCAGGGTGGGGGGGGGGGGACAAGATGATTTAACGGATGTATTATAATATCATAATAATCGTGTTATTATTCTGCCCACCCATGACATTTCATATAAAAACACTGAAGTTGGTTTGAAAAAAAAACATAAAGCACTTACGGCGTGGTCTGTAATGAGAGAAACCATTGACCAAGGTAGAAACGTCTGTAGCAAAGCCATCACAATTCAAGTAGTCGTGCTTTTCTGTTGCAAACATGAAACGAAAGTGATCACATCAACACCTGTTTAAGGATATCATGAAAAATTGTGCTAATACACAAAACAACGGAAAATGGAAGAGGATAGTAAATAAGATCCGTTAACAATGTAAAGACAAATTATGGGTATGAGGGATTACCGGGGAACGGTGACGGTTATGTCATAAATGTTACAAGTAATGTACAGGTGTATTCATGCAGGGTCGGATCCATCCGGCCGGCCGAATAAGCGGAGGTTGGTGCACTACGGATGGTAATGGGAGGGGGTCCGGAGGATGGTGCGCTACGGATGGCAATGGGAGGGGTCCATAGGGTAGTGCACTACGGATGGCAATGGGAGGGGTTCTGGAGGGTGGTGCACTACGGATGGCAATGGGAGGGGGTTCGGAGGGTGGTGCACTACGGATGGCAATAGGAGGGGGTTCGGAGGGTGGTGCACTACGGATGGCAATGGGAGGGGTCCAGAGGATGGCAATGGGAGGGGGTCCAGAGGGTGGTGTACTACGGATGGCAATGGGAGGGGTCCATAGGGTAGTGCATTACGGATGGCAATGGGAGGGGGTCCGTAGGGTGGTGCACTACGGATGGCAATGGGAGGGGGTCCGGAGGATGGTGCACTACGGATGGCAATGGGAGGGGGTCCGGAGGGTGGTGCATTACGGGTGCAATGGGAGGCTGGAGGTTACGGTCCAGAGTGTGGATGCACTGAAAGCTTGACAGTAGTATCGCAATGTTACTTACGTAAGCCATGGCACTGAAGATAACTAATGATTGTAGGCAGGTCGTAATCATCGACGTCGTCATGGTCGAAATTCCAACAACTAAATTCCGCTGTCAACAAAACAAAGTGACAAAGGGAGGTAGATTAATGCTTTTCAATTTGTAGTTCATTCAAACATCCCCTTCCCTATACCAAAAACACAAAAATATGCCAAAGACATTACAAATCCATTTCCTAACTAAAATTGATGCCACTTAAAAACAATTACTTATTCTACTTATTTATTTATTTATTTCATTCTGCTTTTTTTGCATAAAATAATGTGCTTTGTTTCATTTACAAGTCACTATTTTCCTTCGTATGTAATTTGTTAGGTATGTTGTATAAGTTCCTCGCAGAGCTTCCTTTTAGAGCAGGGCTGCAAAGGAAAGCTCTGATTGGCTGTGAATGAGACTATCCTGCTTTTAAAGAAATTATGAATGATAAAATCTACTATAATTTGTGAATTATTTCCTTAAAGGGCAAAACAAATGGGGCGTTTTCATGTGTGGAAGATATAGGGATATTTGACATTGCATTTCAAACCGCCGCCCCAAACGAAAATAGCGTTAGCAAAGAATATCCATGCTCAAACAAGTAGTTGCCATGATAATTGATCCTTCTTAATAATGTAACCTATTTGTAAAGAATAGCTAAAGCTGACATTTTCAGCTGGCTTAAATGATTTGGGTTGGCTTGGAAATGATATTAGTTCAGTGTCTTATGAGCTACCACCGATGGAAATAGACAATGAACAGCGGTCGTCTTCCCCACGCGTCCTATAACAGATACTTATTAGCTCTTAAACAAAGATAGAAACATATTAATACAAGGGTTCAACGGGGGAAATTCACAATATATAAATTCGCCTGCGAATATAGGAACTGCAACTAAGGCTTTTCATGGACAATTAACTTTCGAACTGAGTTTTATGCAAGTAGATCCGAAAATATGGTTTATATACTGGTGCCAAGTGTAACTCTTTTTCTTGTTATATGTATCAAAATTAGTGATTGACTTTTTATATGTGATAAATCTTATCTTTGCTTTCGATATTGGTCTAGGGACTGGTGTTAACCTCAAGGAACTTTTCAGGTTTCTCTGGTAACAAAATGGTTTATTTTGATACAGAATGAAATATTGTCCACTATATCTAACCCATACCTTGAATCAATGGCTTTCACTTTAAAAATGCTAGGGGACATAAGTATATACGCGATGTTGTTGTAAAATGTACGCATTATTCTTACCTGACGAGTTTGTTCTTTTAGGACATACTCATAAACTACTCATGAGGGACCTTAAATCCACAAGCCTTGCTTTCAACCAAGGTCACCTCATCTTTCTATTGTAACGTCATATTCTATTCACTTGTTAAATTCATGTCATATTTGTAATATCAAAGAAAGATAAATAAAACTTGAAACTTGAAGCTTAAAACTTGAAAAAGGTTATCCCTGCCTGATATCTTAACGTTTGAACTATATCGCAATAAGGATACACTGCTTTTCAATAAATAATTTAGTTTCACCAATAGAATGAAGGATTTACTGAAACGATTAATTTGACTTCTGTTAACATTGAACATGCAAACACAAGTGATACTACAATAGACCATTGCTGAGGTTAAAATTTTATGATAACAGTTACTACTCCCATCCACACAACGAGAAAACAGTACTAGACTAAAGATGTTTTTTACTTGAACTGAACCTTCTCGTTAACTGTGTAATAATACTCACATGATTGTGATGATGAGTAAGTTGCGTGCGCACTTCCCATCACAATGAGTGACACCATAGTACACAGCACAGCTTTCATGGTGGCGGTGGCTTCACTTCAGTGAAAAGTGTCTGTTTGAAATCAATCGATATGCTTCCAGCTACAAGACAATGAATAAAACAAATATGAGAAAAACATAAAAGAAATGGAAAGTGCGGCTGCACTGTGTGCTTGTTTTACTCTAGGAGAGTGGACATGGCGCACATATTGTGTCCGTGTGTATGGGTGTGTGTGTGTGTGTGTGCGTGTGTGCGTGTGTGTGCGTGGGTGTGCGTGGGCTTGTTTTGATTTACGAGAGTGGAGATGGCGCACATATTGAGGTTGTGTGTTTGTATGTGTGTGTGAGTGAGCGTGTAAATGGGTGTGTGCGTGTGCGTGTGTGTAAATGTATCTCGTGAGTCAGATTATACAGTGCGTATTTAAAAAGTAAACCCAACTTTGACAGATTTCAATTTTAAAGTTATAACCCGTGTGATGGTAAGGAGTCACTAATATTCCCTTTAAAGACAAAGTTGATTTCTGGTCATGCGATTGCCTTGTGAAAGAAACAGTGTGGAATCAATCAGAAAAGGTTGATCATCTAGCATATAAGTATTGGTGTGTACTGCAAGGTTCTGGAATCATCTAAATGATAGGAAATTTGGCCCAGTCTTGGTAAAGCTACAAGCACTGTACACAAAAATATGTATAAGGGACTACACAAACATGTGGCTTTAAAATCCGTCCCGATTTTAAAGCTGTTACATGCCATATTTAGCATATTAAGGCATTTGAAGAGCTATGTTTTTTAGGGAACATTTTGAATCTGATGTCCTTCCACACTTGCATAAAAACAATAATAACGCTCACAAATTATTTTTCACATCTTCCCAGAACTCAACCTTCTCTTTAAATATACGTTATTCATAACTCTGCTGCCACAAATGACTGATCAGCAGCCTTTCAACAACAACAATTGTCAAAATCTAAATCCTCTTCTACCAAGTTTAGGCTGAAGCAATGAATATGGGTCAAAATTCATTACACATTTGTTATGACACATATTACAAGATCACAGTGGCTTTTAATAACAAGCAACCAAATTGGGTATACTTGTTGCTACGCACTGTGTATATAGATGTGCCACACACAGCGAACAGTCATAAAAGTTAAAAATGATACGGGTACATGAATATTTACATACCTTTCACAAGATGGGAGGGGGCGGTTCAGAGACTGAGCATGATGGATGTTTCACTCTTATTTTGCTCGCCTAATGTATGTTTTACGTTCCAATCATTAGTTGCCTATCCACTTAGGGATCTCAGTATATGAATCAGTTATCTAGTTTTTATATGCTGTATTATCATGTGCTTTTACATTGTAGCTCTACAGTAATTCAGCATTGGATTGGGAATGTAGATTTTAATGCAATTACAACAATTACAAACCAATTTCATTGAATATTTCTGAAAGGATTGATATGATAGTTACCTAATTGAGTTCATCAATGAATAGTAATCCTGTTCCATTTCAAGCGAATTTTGTCAACTAGCCTTTTTAATCAGCTTCTTTGATACAAATCTAAAAATGCCTATGTGCCAAAATATGACACAGCTCAACTAAATACTCAAATTACACGATGGCAAATACTTAATAAATAACGTTATGCAATTTTAATGGACATCACTACATAGGCTATGCGAACATGACAATGTAGGTATTGCGTAACCCCGTCATGAATTCTATTGAATTTACTGTAGTGTTTCGAAATTGCCATTAAGTTTTTTTTTTTTTTTTACGTAGTTGCGATAGTATCAAAATGTAACGATATAAAACGGAAAAAATGGCATTACGTACCGCATATACGAAATCTGTATCGAATAAACGTCTACTCAGATCAGCTCCAACGTCCAAAGTTGTTATGTCTTGTGGAATCGCTTCCATATATAGGCCTAATCGGAGAAATTAAACTAATTCTTCTGTGTGTGGCACCTGGCTTTGTATTGATCCAAAAGTTATTATTTTGTGTTAACTAAAACAAATCGCCCACCGTAATTAGAAAGATTATTATGAAAAACCAATATTGCATTTTGCGCATATGGTGAGAATAATGATACTACGTTGCTATTATTGTAATTAATATTAATTACTTTTGGGCACAAAGTAATCGTTACTTTAAAAACCTGGAACGGTGATTTCTTGGTCGATATACAAAGAGGGGTGTGCAACGTCATATCAAGCCGTGGTGAGCAGGTCTACATCTAATCGTGTCTTTTTGTAGTTGACAACATCACACATTTATATTCTAGCCATACCCATAATATTCGTAACAATTTTCAGGTAGCGATGCAATAGAAGTAAAAGATCATTCATAAGGCATATATGGCTATGAAATATATTGACAATTTTCTGAATTGCACGATATGGGAGGGGGAGGAGGGAGGGGGAGGGGGGACCTGGTACCCATTGACTATCTGTCTATGCTGTGAACAAGTAGTATGAGTTAGTTTGATAATCTATATGATTGACTAATATTCTACTCTATCTGAAGTTAAATATTGTTTTACTGCGATGGAATATAACGAGAAAAAAGAGCGAGAAAATATTCACTTTTTAAATGGGGAAAATGTTGCATTTCAGAGAATGTCAGAGCTTAAAAGTACAAACCAGTTTTGTAATCACTAAATAGGAGTGAATGTCCCTTCCACCTCCATGCCGATACATAGCCTGAGCCTTCGAGTTTTCTAAAACAGTCTAACTCTAACTAATTGTTAATTGTTCGTGATGCAAAGCCAGTTTGCACACCTGGCATGTAAAGTCCTAATAAAAATAGGTCATATAAAACGATAGCAGACTCATATTGATTTTCGGACGTGTGCCGCCAAAGCTATAAACACCAAATGATTTCAGAGACAACAAACTCCCGCAGATCACAATATCTAGCTTCCTATCTTGAGGAATATTCTTTACATAGAAAATACTTCCTTTATGTATATTAAAAAAGGAAGGCGAAATGTGTCAAAACAGTCTTATGAAATGAATTTGCTATTGCGCATGGGTAGTGCAAATTATACGATCATATGATTATCAACGTCATTGTTAACATCTTTTGTTTTTCTTTGCATAAGTTCCTATTTCATGATCCTCATTAATGTACTCTTCATTACTGGCTGATTATTCATTGTTATACGATGAAGACTTTGATGGTATTTATTCACGGTTAATTTGACATACATTGTTTCTTGTTCGTTCCCACAACTCTGATTGACTTTTCCTCTGGAGCCTTTACATGAAACAAGTCCTTCATATCCTCATTTCCATTTTCACTTAATCTTTACTTTACAAGTAACTACAAATGTACAAACAAAACCAAATTGACTTTATGTACTTATGTTTATTGATAATAGGTATATAGGCCTTATTATTATTGATTATTGTGAACAAAGCTGACAATGTGTACGCGTACGCAGGGGGGGGGGGGGTGGGGTTAAAGGTGTGTGCTAAAGGGTGACAAAAAAGCCCCCCCCCCCCCTACTGAACGTAATATCGGTCGGCATAATTTACAAAGTCTATCACTCGCGACGGCTCTTTGAATTTCCTAGTTAAAAAGAATTTGATTCGGAAATCGAAAGCTCGCTATTAGAATGACTACGTTTGCACAGCGACATAACATACTCAAATTTCATATTAATAGGAGGTGCTCGAAATTGGTATCATTTGAACGGTCTCTTTAAAAGATAGAACCTAAAAAAAGATCATGTCCATTGGACTTTCGGTTCTCAAGATGTTGGCTTTTGAAGTTGCAGAAATTACGTCGAAAACCTGCCACAAAATGCTATTTTGGGCCATATTTGATAGTCACCATCTTTGAACGCCCCTAAGAATGATAGTAATTGTCGTAAGTAACTAAAAATCACAGAGACAAGACACTTTTTATAGGTGTATCAAATGTTATCAAAAAATAATACATGTAATTTATTCCATGTGTGTACAAAGCCCTTCAGAAAATGCTATTTTGAGCAAAATTCCATGCCGCAAACTCTGAAAATAATTTTTAAAAAAACAACGAGTAGGTCCAGCTAATTAATATGCGTAAATTGATTTTCTCCTTTTCAATAAAGTGTTGAGCATTCAAATTTGGTGTGATGGTTATCGGTGATAAGTTCTATTATAAAATACACATTTCAGTTCAGTATCTAATTGAATATGCAAATTAGCTCATTATATATGCATTGTGTGAATATTCAAATAAGGTAGGCTACGGATTGGTCACAATTTTTCAACATGGCTGCATTCCAGAACATAATTATTATTGGGTTTGGTTGGTGGCTCAAAACAGCCGAGTGAAAAGTTGATCACTGTTGACGTAGCAGCTTCGTGTTTTGGCTCATTTCCTGGGGTGTTACACCCAATGTATTATGAGCATACCACACAAAACTAGGATGTGTTAACTATTACATCATGACTTGGGAGCCAGTTGAAAAAATCCAAACACGGAGCCATAACTCCCAAAATATTTGTAGAAAAGGGAAGTAGAATAAAAAGTCATATGCAGGAGGTCATAGGCTACCACATATGGCAAGATGAGCTCTATATTCAATTCAATCTAAATTCAAAAATGGTTTTTATTATAGCACAAACATAGTTCATACAATTTTACATGAAGGACAGCCATGGCTGGAATATTCAACACTTTTAAATATAAACATGTAAAAAACTAGCAATATCACAAATAAGACTCAGATTCTGAAACTAAAATCCGTAAACACATTGCACAAGTTTCCATAAATACAGCTGTAATTGTTTACAAGTTTCCTATTAATTCAATACAAGCGTGGTAAATATATATGGTGTTTAACACACCAGGGGGTGTTTCATAAAGCTGTTTGTAAAGTTACGCATGAATTTACGAATGACTTATATATGAAAAGCCAAATGGGATGCTCAATCATTTTTAACTGCATCAACTAACGTTGAACGCTGCAGATGTAGATTAACATTCTTATTATAACAAACATTTTTGATGCAAAGTACATTTTTTGCAGCTGAGAGAGCTCTCTGTGAGGGAAGTCATTATATGCCCGGTGTAGTGGGAGATTGCTGCCAAGCGTGAAAATATGGTGTTTTAATAAATTGTTTAAACATATTTCAGGAGAAGTAATAATAATAATTTTTGAAAGTACTTTCAAGGAAATATCAATCTTAATAATGGTGGGAAAAAAAATTGTATTGTATTTTCATTTGAAATCGCTCAAACTTTGAACTGATTCTAGTTCAAATCTATATTTGTGCATGACTGCACAGATGGCAGGTTTTCCTTGAGTGCTGTGTGTCATGCCTAAATACAGTTTGTTTATTTGAAGGGTCCAAGCCAGCTCTTCCATTATTCGCGTCAACCTACGTACACATCTGTTGTATTGTTCCGAGCTCCTTGGTTATACTTTATAGCAGATCGGTCGCAAAATCATACCCGGCGTACAACCAAGTTTAAATCTTCCTTGTTTTGTTAGGTTCAGTTTTACTTTAGATATTTTACAATGGATAGAATACGTAATTTAAAACAATTGTGTTCTTTTTGCATAGTGGCAATGCTGGCATGGTTCTGTCTAACTGAACTCTACATTCAACCAAATGGTGATTTTGACCCGACGTGTAATAAACTGACTCGGTAACATGTTTCCTCAGATTCTGAAACAAAATCCTGGATTTAGCTCATGCTGCAATCATAATCATAAACCTTTAAGTCAGTCAGGAAGCCAGTGACTTTTACAAGCCGATCGCCTGTCTGATTATACAGATATTTATGATTTGAAATCGAAATTTCATTTTTCTAACGGTTTTTATACACTACAGTCTATTGAGGGAAATGAGTATGGTAAAACCGGTCACCCAAAGATTTTTACTTTTTTGAGGCACTTCATGATTATTTTGAAGCACAATTTTGTTTAGGGTTTCAATATTACTCCATATCACAGATACTGAAAACACGTAGGGCCATGCATCCCATATTTAAGATTGTTAAACGATGCGTTTAAAGGGTGACATATTGAAACACAATTATTTTACAATGAATGGGCAAATATAGCGCGCAGTACTGGTTTGTATTGCCTTAACATGGAGGCTTGATGAGCTAAAATCCCCTTCCCCCTACGGGCAATATACGACGGAAAAGACATCGCTTTAATATGCAGATGTACTCGGTTCGATTCCCGGCTTTCTACCTCGCGTTTTTTTTTCTTCATCTCTTTTTTTGTTTAGGGGACAACCCCTCCTCCTCAACAAAGGAGTACAAGTAGTTTATCAGCATATTTTTTAAAGTCATTAACATCGGAAAGTGTTAACATCTTGAACCGAACAAGTTAATAACAGTGAAGCTTAGTGGTCTTGTGGATAACACATCGCTTCACAATGCAGATGTACTCGGTTCGATTCCCGGCTTTGCCTTTCTACCTCGTGTTTTTTTATCATTTTTTTCTTCATATTGATTCGACCTCTCTTTTTTTATTTAGGGGCAACCCCCTCCTCTTCAAAAAAGGAGGAAAAATAGTTTTTCAACATATTTTTAAAAGTCATTAACAACAAAAAGTGTTAACAACTTGAAGCGAACAAGATAATATCAGTGAAGTACAGTGGTCTTGTGAATAAGACATCGCTTCACAATGCAGATGTACCCGGTTTGATTCCCGGCTATGCCTTTCTACCTCATCTTTTTTAATAATTTTTAATTCATATTGATTTGTCCTTCTTTTTTTTTGTGTTTAGGGGACACCACCTCTTCCATAACAAAGGAGTAAAATTAGTTTATCAGCATATTTTTAAAGTCATTAACATCAGAAAGTGTTAACATCTTGAACCGAACAAGTTAATAACAGTGAAGCACAGTGGTCACGTGGATAAGACATCGCTTCACAATAC